AAAAGAATAAATTACAACATATAAGTTTAATGGGATACAGCAAAATCAATATTAAGAGGGGAGTTTATGACAATTGGTGCCTGCATCAAGAAATTGGAAAGGCCAAAATAAGTGAGATATGAATGCATCTCAAGGAACTAGAAAAACTACAGAAAAGCAAGCCTCAAATTAGTAGAGGAAATACTTAAAACTAGAGAAGTAAACAAAATAGAAACCAAGAAAAAATAAAAAATATTCAGTGAAATGAAAGAGCTGATTTTTTGAACAAATAAACAAAATTGATACACCATTTGCCCAACTAACCAAAAAAGAGAGTGAAGACCCAAATCAATAAAATCAGAGATAAAAAAAGAAACATAATAAAGATACCACAGAAATAAAAATAATCATCATGAATTACTACAAAGAGCTGTATGCCAACAAATTGGGAATCCCAGAAGAAATGGATAGATTCCTGGACTCAGACAATCTACCAAAATTGAGTCATGAAGACATTGAACATCTAAACATACCAATAACCAATACGGAATTTGAATCAGTAATAAAGACCCTCCCAACAAAGAAAATCCCATGTCCAGGTGGTTTCACTGCTGAATTCTAGCAGACACTTAAAGAAGAAATAGTTCCAATTCTTATAAAGCTTTTCAAAACAATTGAAAGGTAGAGTATCCTTCAAAACCCCTTCCATGGGACCAGCATTACCTTAATTCCTAAACCAGAAAAGAAACAGCAGAAAAAGAGAATTGGAGACAAATTTCCCAGATGAATATAGATGCAGAAATCATCAACAAATACTAGCCATTCTAATCCAACAGTACATCAGAAATATCATTCACCTGAACCAGGTGGGATTTGTATGCAATCTATTTGTATGCAATGATGCTTCAACACCCCAAAATCAATAAATGTGATACATCACATTAACAAACTGAAGAACAAAATCATATGCTTATCTCAATAGATGCAGAGAAAGCATTTGATTAAATTCAATACCTTTTTATGTTGAAGATATTAAGCAAATTGGGTATATAAGGATCATTTCTCAACATAATCAAGGCAGTTTATGACAAACACACAACCAGCATCCTACTGAATAGGAAAATATTGGAGGTATTCCCATTCAGATGAAGAACCAAACAAGGATGCCCACTCTCACCCTTGCTGCTTCATATAGTCCTGGAAGATTTAGAAAGAGCCATTAGGAAGGAAAGAAATTAAAGGGATACAAACTGAGAAGGAGGTAAACAAATTATTCCTATTTTCAGGTGATATGATTCTATACATAAGGGACCCAAAAGACTCCACAAAGAGAATATTGGAACTCATAAAAGAGTTTTGTAAAGCATCAGGATATAACATCAGTACAAAAAAATCAATTAGCTTTGTATACCCAGACAAGTAGGTGCAAGTAGTTGCAAACTATACAACTGATAAAGGGTTAATTTACAGAATGTATAGAGTTCTAGAAACTCGGCCGGCGCCGCAGCTCACTAGGCTAATCCTCCGCCTAGCGGCGCCGGCACACCGGGTTCTAGTCCCGGTTGGGGTGCCGGATTCTGTCCCGGTTGCCCCTCTTCCAGGCCAGCTCTCTGCTGTGGCCAGGGAGTGCAGTGGAGGATGGCCCAAGTCCTTGGGCCCTGCACCCCATGGGAGACCAGGAAAAGCACCTGGCTCCTGGCTCCTGCCATCGGATCAGCGCGGTGCGCCGGCCGCAGCGGCCATTGGAGGGTGAACCAATGGCAAAGGAAGACCTTTCTCTCTGTCTCTCTCTCTCACTGTCCACTCTGCCTGTCAAAAAAAAATTAAAAAATAAAAAAAATTAAAAAAGAGTTCTAGAAACTCAACAACTACAAAACAAAAAACCCAGTTAAAAATTGGGCAAAAGAACAAATATTTTTGATGAGCATAAATTCGAATGACCAACAGACACATGAAAAAATGCTCAGAATGGATAGCCATCAGGGAAGTGCAAATCAAAATCACAATGAAGTTTTACCTTACACCTGTTTGAATGTCTTTCCCATAGAAATCAACAAACAAGTAATGCTGGTAAGGGTGTGGGGAAAAGTGAATCCTCTTGCACTCTTAGTGAGAAGGTTAACTGATACAGCAACTGTGGGAGACAGTATGGAGATACTTCAGAAATCTGAATATAGATCTGCCATATGATCTAGAGATCCCACTTTGGAATTTTTCCAAAGGAAATGAAATTGGTATATGAAAGAGTAATATGTACCCCCATGTTCATTTCAGCTCAGTTTACAATAGCTAAGATATGGGGGTGCCAGCATTGTGCTATAGTGGGATAAGCCTCTGCCTGTGATGCCCACATTCTGTATGGGTGCCAGTTCATGCCCTAACTGTTCCTCTTCCAATTCAGCTCTCTGCTTATGTTCTGGGAAAGAAGCAGAAGATTGCCCAGGTATTTGGGCCCCTGAACCTGTGTGAGAGACCTGGAAGAAACTCCTGGCTCCTGGCTTCAGATTGGCTCTGTTCCAGCCATTGTGAGGAGTGAGTCAGTGGATGGAAGACCTTTGTCTCTGTCTCTGTCTCTCTCTGCCTGTAACTCTACCTCTAAAATAAATTAAAAAAATCTTTAAAAATGAAGATATTTAATCAACCTAGACATCCATTAACAGAAGATTGGATATGAAACTATGGTATATATACACTATGGAATAGTACACAGTGGTAAAATGATATCCTGTCATTTGCAACAAAATTGATGCAACTTGAAACCATTATACTTACTGAAATAAGCCAGTCACAAAATGACAAATATTATATGGTCTCTCTGATCTGTGGTTACTAAAGGGATATCTAAAAGTTAATCTATAGGAGTGGAACACTTCTTGATATGCCGAGATTTTGAACAGCCCTTGTCTTGACTGTTGAAGAACAATGTTTTTTGTTTGTTTATTTGTTTATGTTCTTTTTTTCTCATGCTAGTCAGTGGACTCTCTACTCATTGAGTGTAGGGTTAAACCCATGAGTATAAAATTAACTGAAAATAAATCTTTGTAAAAGTAAGAATGGGAATGGGAGAGGGAGGAGGAAGAAGAGAAATTGCAATGAAATATTAGGAATGAAGAATTCAACAGATCAAATAAAAATGTAATGGACAGCCATAACAGCAGACATGGTGAGGAAGAAGAAAGAATTTCCAAACTAGAAGAGAAATATTTGGAAATATTACAGTTAGACCAAAAAAAATAAAAGCAAAACAAGATAAAAATAGAAAATGTAAAAATAGCTTTGGAGACCTATGGGATATTATCAAAGGACCCAACATCCAGGTCTTAGGATTTCCTGAAGGTGTGTAAAGAGAGAATGGACTAGATGGCTTATTTAGTAAAATGTTTACAAAAACTTCACCAATTTGGGGAAAGAGAGGGATGTCCAAGTACAGGAAGCACACTGAGCCCCTAACAGACATGACCAGAAAAAGATTTCACTTTGACACATTGTAGTCTAACTTTTCACAATAAAACATAAAGGAAAGATTCTCAAATATTCAAGAGAGAAATGCCAGATTACTTCTAGAGGATCTCCAATAGGACTCACAGCTGACTTCTCATCAGAAACCCTACAGGCTAGGAGGGAAGGGAGAGATATAGTCCAAGTCTTTAAAGAAAAAAAAGATTTCAATTCTGAATACTGTACCCTTGCAAAGCTTTCACTTATGAATGAAGGTGAAATAAAGACTTTCTACAACAAACAGAAATTGAAAGAAGTTGTTGCCACTCATCTAGCCTTTCAAAAGATGCTTCAGGATGTGCTACACACAGAAACACAGAATGATATCCATAATTGTGAAAGAATGAGATGGCAGAAAATCCCCTAGTAGAAGTACAAAAGAAATCCAAATTTAACAATAGGAATATTTATCAAAAAATGGAAGGGCAAGTCATTATTTATCATCACTCACCTTGAATGTAAATGACCTCAACTGTGCAGTTAAAAGATGCAAACTTATTAGAAATTAAACTGATTGAGCCGGCGCCGTGGCTCAATAGGCTAATCCTCCACCTTGCGGCGCCGGCATACCGGGTTCTAGTCCCAGTCGGGGCGTCGGATTCTGTCCCGGTTGCCCCTCTTCCAGGCCAGCTCTCTGCTATGGCCAGGGAGTGCAGTGGAGGATGGCCCAGGTGCTTGGGCCCTGCACCCCATGGGAGACCAGGAAAAGCACCTGGATCCTGGCTCCTGCCATCGGATCAGCGCGGTGCGCCGGCTGCAGCGGCGGCCATTGGAGGGTGAACCAACGGCAAAGGAAGACCTTTCTCTCTCTGTCTCTCTCTCTCACTGTCCACTCTGCCTATCAAAAAAAAAAAGAAATTAAACTGATTATCATTAATTTATACTTAATGAAGGCTGGAACTTATGATAACTAAGTAAACTGAAAGTAGATGTTTGTAAAAATTAAGAATGGGGATGGAAGAGGGAGGAAGAAGAAGGGTTGGTCTTGGGTATTAGGAGGTTTGCATGGGACGTATATCTATGTTCCTAAATCTGTACATATGAAATGCATGAAATTTGTGTAACTTCTATAAAATTTCAAAAAAATAATGCTTTTTATTTGGTGTGATTTTGCTATCATTGAAACAAAATGGTCACAAGTTTCATGAGTGATAATATGGGCTTATACTATCAGGGCTAAAGTAATAGCTTGATATGCGCTCTCCTATGTATATTACTTTTCTACGGGGATTGCACCACAAGGTGTAAATCTGACTTTCCTTCAGAAATAGCCTATAATAGTCATTTTAGATATAAGTTTCTGGCATATAATACTATATTCCACAAAATCTGCTTTATCATCTCAACTGAATAGTTAACTTATACTTAACAAATAAAGGCTAAATTACTTAGAAATGGACTTAGAACTAACTATAACATCAAGTGTGAAAAAATAATAGGAGAAATCCATTATGTCTATCCATTTATTTGAGCAAAATTATGACACAACACATTCTCTTCTTTTTAGTGAGGTTTAAACCCACCTTAAATTTGACTTTGGTGTAGCTTCAGTTTTGTCTTCTTTGTACTATTTCCAAGATGGTTCCAAGATCATTAGGAGGGCTAAAAAGAGTAAAAGACATAAAATATTACTGTAGAAAGTCTTTCTTTAGTTGTGACTCCCAAACTCCAAACTACACAGAATATATAAATCTTACACAAGGCTAATAATAGAAGTATAATTTTATTTTGTCAGTTGTGGCCAACCACATTAGGAGTATTTTCAATAAAAGCTACATCCAAATTGTATCTATGAACTACATGGAATACGTCTTCATTTTTGTATTAATATCATATTAACATGAGAATTGTGTCATAAAAATCTAATAGAAGCATAGAAAAATTGGCAATAATTGTCTGAGACTGAACCAAAGCCAGCAGCCACCCAGTTGTGGACTCCTTATGAAGTCAGAAAGAAAAATGTCCCTCATTTCAAGCTGCCATAATTGCATTTTCTACTACTTGCTGCCAAATGCATCTTTGAACTATACAAATACCTTCTAACCTCTTTAAAAATGAAGTAGTGGATAAAATATATACATAACTAAAGGGGGAGAATCTCTAAACTAAGTGAAAGTAAGAAGAGAAATTGAAGAATACCAAAGACTTGACTTATTTTCCTTTCTTGGCGGGCTTTGTTTTCCATTCCCTTTCTGGTGCCTTCTCACAGAGTGGGTATGAAGTGAAAGGGCTGCACACACACTTGGTACTTTCTAAGTACATCCTTTAATTCTCCATGCCTGAGGCCTCAGTGCTCTGCAAGGGAAGGGGAAAATTAAGGATCTCTTGTCCCCATGGCCACTCTTACAGTTTTCTAGGCACAAGCACTAACAAGTACTGGCTTCTAGCTGCAAGATGTTGTTATAGAGAGGCAAGCAGTTCCCCATCCTGCACATATACCCAATGCATGAAAGGCAGTTATACCAAGTGGGCAGGTATCTCTAGGCAGGCAAATACTGTGATGCAGCTCAGTTCCAAGAGAAAGACAATTGCAGTTTTCAGAAAAGAAATGCGCAGGTAATGTAACCTTTCATTAGCCTTCCTCCTGTTTTTCTGAATCCTTTTCTTTCCTTGGAGGTTCTCCTTCCTCCTGTAACCCACCTGCAGACCCATGGACCAATGCTGGCTGTCTGATGCATCCAGTTTCAGCAACTAACCATGTAGGATGTGTTGAAGATAATGTGCTTTTACATTAAGCCTTCTCTCCAAGGGTTGTACAAAAGGATTTGTCCTTTCTAAAGATGTTCAGTTGTGTATCAGTAAAATGAAAGGTAATATTAGAAGACAGGTCAAGTGAGGCCGTCTCTGTTATCCTTAAAGTCACATACAGGAGGTGGCCATAGCTTTCCAGATGCTAGGTAGGTCCTATCTTGAATCCTTCTGTTATTTTTCTAAAACATGAAACTCTCACATAGCAGACAACTGTGTGAGAGGAGGTCCATGGGATTTTCTTAGTAGGAGGCTCTCTGGTTTTGAAAGCTCATTTACTCTTGGGCCAAAGTTAACCAGTGTCCTCTGGGTGCCTGTATGAGGAGACAAAGGGATTGGCAGAAGGATGGTGATCTTGCTGAGGGGCTGCTGGCAAAGTCCATTCTTCTGGCAAAGTAGTAACCAGCATTTTCTCTCTCCCACTTCTCTGTCCTGGTGGGATGGTTGCAGGGGCTGACCTGTGGGAAGAGCATCTTGGTGAAATTGAGAAGCTGCACCAGCACCTAGAGGAACCCATCTACAGCAGAGGAGGGGAATGTGTGTCCCATGGGCCACATCAATTGATTCGTTGTAAGTGATTGTCCATGTTGTGTATGTGATTTTGTAGGGTGAAAACTGTGATGTGTGTTACACGTTTGTACATGGTACTAGTTGTGTCTGTAATGTAAAATCCCCTTACTATTTCTGATAATTTGGCACATGGACAAATGTGTACTCACACAAAGAAACTAATCTAAGTACTCTTGGGGCCCATGCCTTAAATAAATCTGTGGTACACTAGGTTGTCTGAAATTTGTTGGTAAAGGAGTAGGCATAGTGTGATGGATAAAGCCTTCACTTGCAATGCCTGCAGCCATATTTGAGTGCCAGATGAATTCCCAGCAACTATGTACTACTGATCTGGGTTCTTGCTAATGGGCCTGAGAAGGCAATGGGTATGTCCCAACTAGTTGGGTGCCAACCAAGTGGGAGACCAAGATTTTCCAGCTAATAGCTTTTGTGTGGCCCAGCCCTGGCCCATCCTTGTACTCTTTTCTTTCACACCACCCCATAACTCTGCCTTTCAAATAATTTTTTTGTAAAAACAAAATAAAAATGTTTTCAGAGTTATTAACATATGTCTGTGCCTAGGTATGCTAGTCAAGCAAATGTTACTTATTTTTGGTAGACATTTAAAATAATAAAGGTATAATTTTGACCTAAAACCAAACAGTGTGCACTGCTTCATATATATGAAGTAAAATTCAGTTTTTAGAGTTTTTTTTTTTTGTCAAGAAAATGGCCCAACCATGCTTGTCTAATAGTTTGGTTTCTTAAATCTAAGTATAATTGTTAAAACTTAGGTAAATATGAAGAAGGAAAATGTTTCTAAATGTAAAGTTGACATCTTAAATTCTATAAAAAGCACTGGGATGATAAGTAGCTGCTATCATAAATTATTAAAATATGTCAATTTAACATTGTCTACTAATCTTTCACTAGATATTGAGTAACTAAGATTAAGGAATAATTCTAACAAATATATGATACTCAATATTAAGAGAAAAGTTTAAAAATCTCTTTGTCATAGACAGACATGCATGAAGTTATGGAATATAAATGATGTGTTTTGATTAAGGGGAAAAGTGAGTAATATTTGTCCTAAAGTAAAATGGTGTTGGCAAGGAAAAAGTAACAGAACAGGACAATGAGCTGAGAGAAATATAAAATGTTCTAGTTTTGTGAAAGATGGATCCTGTGTGAAATAACATTGGCTGATGTTACCATGGAATTGGCCATATGAGTTTCTATAAATTAAGTATTAATGTCAAAGGCATATTGTTATGAAGTTAGAATTTGTTAATGTTAAATGTTAATATCAAAACAACCAGGTTTTCTGATAGGAAAAGACTCACAAGAAATTTTTATCTTTGAATTTTGAAATCTGATCTTTGACATTCTTAACCCATCTTTGATTGTAATTTTCCTTGTTTCAACTTTTCTATTTTTACAGTTTGCATTTAGTTGGAGATTTCCTCAGTTTTTCAATGAAGGAGGTACCTTTCTCTGAAGGGAGGAGAGAACTTCCACTTTGACTATGACCTTGTCTAAATAAGATTGAAGTCAGTGAACTCAAAAGGCTTCCATAGCCTTGGAAACTCATGACTAGAGCCTAGGGAGATTACTGACGCCACAAACAAGAGTGTCAAATTGTTAAGTCAACAACAGGAGTCACTGTGTACTTACTCCTCATGTGGGATCTCTGTCCTTAATGTGTTGTCCAATGTGAATTAATGCTATAACTAGTACTCAAACAGTATTTTACACTTTATGTTCTGTGTGGGTGCAAACTGATGAAATCTTTACTTAATATATACTAAATCAATCTTCCGTATATAAAGATAATTGAAAATGAATCTTGATGTGAATGGAATGGGAGAGGGAGCAGGAGATGGGAGGGTTGTGGATGGCAGGGAAGTTATGGGGGGTGGGGAAAGCCATTGTAATCCATAAACTGTACTTTGAAAATTTATATTTACTAAATCAAAGCTTAAAAAAAATGAAAAAAAATCTCCCCCCAAAAAAGTTTAGAGATTTGATTCTTGACCTTTACTTTTCTCAATACATTTAAACTGCTCCAAGTAGTAGGGTGAGTATGTGTGCTAATTCTCCTATTCAAGGGTTTTTTTCTTTGCTGTTTTAGTAACTGAGCTAGGAAATGAGGATTTCATGTGTATTGAGTCTTGGATTTTCTGCTATTGTTGTTAAGCTCTCATTGCTTGAAAATACCTAAGTCTTACTAATAGAATGACAATTGCTTGAAGTAGCACTCTGTTCTCAGAATAAGCCCTTATGGCTTTCTGGTGTGGCTGAAAAGCCCATGAGAGCATTTTAGTCATGGAAAGCCAAGATACTGTGGCAAAAACTGTCCTACATGAAGGACTTCTATGGGTGAGATCCCAATGGAAAAACATGGCCGCCAAAGAAGGATGTGCTTTTCTCTGATGGAAGGAGAGAACTTCCACTTTGCTTATAGCCTTGTCTAATACTGAAGTAGTTTGTGGATTTGAAGGGCTCCCATAGCCTAGGCAGACCATGTCAAGGGCCTCATGTGATCACTGACATCATATATAAGAGTGTTAATAGTTAAATTAACAAGTGTCACTGTGCACTAACTTCCCATGGAGGACTTCTGTCCTCCGAGAGTTGTATTATGAGAGTTAGTAGTAAAACTTGTTCTCAAAGATTTACTTTTTTTAAGTGTATTAAGTGGAATTTATTCTTATGTCTCATAAACTATAGTTATATCTAAGTACTCGCAACAGATGTATTATTCTTGGGTTCTCCTTTAAAGTAAGTTAAGTTTCTCAAAAAAGGTAAAAAAAAAAAAAACCTCAGATGTAATTTATTTAATTAAAGTTATTTTTTCTTATTGTAAAAAAAAACTTGGTGTTCTCTTGCACAGAGTAGGGTAAAAATAGTTAACAATAACATATTGTATATTTCTAAATAGCTAGAAGAAAGACATTTGAATGTTGTTACTTCAAAGAAATCTTGAATATATGAAGCAATAGATGCTAATTATTCTAATTTGATCAATACAATGTTTGCATATATCAAAATGTTACATTGTACCCTATAAAATGTACAACTATTGTGTGACAATAAAAACAAATAATCTAAAATTAAAATACCTGAGTCTTAAAAGAGTTAAGATTTTTCTGGAGTATCTACTCATTCTGAAATATTTGATTGATCACTTTGTGACTGGTTAAATCTAGTTTATATATAGCTCTGGCTGAAACACCTTGTCTGGATAGATGATTGTTATTTTTCAGAATGGTCTGAGTTCCTGTTTTGACCAAGTGTTTTAAACCTCTGACATCTTTGATAGACTTGTTTTTAGATTCAGAGTTGTAAATTAATTCTTTTGACTTTGATGTTTCCAGTTGGATTCCTGGAGCTGTCAAAGGATATAAGCCTCATCTTGGAGATGCAATAGTTATTTAGGTTGTTTGGATTGTGTAGAATGCATTGCTGGGTTTGCACAGGTTGCCTAATTTTAATTGTGTCTATACAGGTATGTTACTCATGTGAAAGTTCTAAAAATTACATAAAGTTATGACTCCTTGTGGTCCTAGTGTGATGTTGCATTATTGGTGCACACATATATTGCTTGCAATATATCTACAGCAACACAGAAATAATGATGCAACAAAGTAAGGCAAATAGGTCTATAAAGCATTTGTTTTCCTTATAAGAAAGTTTTTGTAGAGGAAATAAAATAACTACTGTTCAAACCAGATTTATATGCTTAACAATGATTTAAACCTTACATAAAATTACATCTAAGCTTCACTATTATGAATCCATAAGGAGTCAGAAAAAGGATTTATAGGTCACAAGGTCTTGACTATGGTTGTATTCTACTTTCAAATCAGTCTGAGATAAATAGCATTTTTCCAAGATTTAAAAAAATAGATTTTATAAAAGAGATTCTTTTTAATGACTGAATACATCATTTTTGCTACTGAGAGAAACAGGTTATACTTTTTGCCCCACTATAATTCACTCTTATGAAAGAAATAATTCTCTTAACTTCTAGCAAATGTTACAGGTTTGAGACTACAGGAATTATCAGGAGTCGTTCTTTCTTATCAATCTGTAATTTATTTCTAAAATATGTCAAGTAAATTTTTAAAGACTCAACGAGGGGCAGCTTCATGTTTGCTGTCTCAGTGAATTCTGAGGAGGCTCTTCTGGCTTCACGGCTTCACTGTAGTCTTTCTCTTTTATCTAATCTTCCATTTTCTCATCCTCCTCACTGTCTAGAGGTTGAGGAATAAGCTTATTACCTACAATGACTTGCCTATTAATTCTGTTTCACTCTCTTTCTTTTCCTTTTGGGAAATCCCTTTGGCCTGCATCTTATCATTTATGAAAGTTCTAAGTTTGCAGCAAATGTAAATACTGGACAAGTCCTGCAGTTTTCTGACAGGTCAGGGAGGCAGTCCAACAATGGCAAGCTTGCCATAATCATTCTCACTTTGGTGCACAAGTGGAGCAAATGAAATAGCAAGGTTATTTTTACTTTCCCAAGTGGTTTCTCCAGTTAGCATAATCTGTGTTAACTGATTTTCTGTAAGCATGACTAGTATGCCTCCCACATTCAGTAAAATGTTCATGTAGTTTTTTCTGGACTCTAGAATCACAATAAATCTGATCATACTGATGTCTGTCAGATGATCTCTGGAGGCAATTACCAACCACCAATGAAGGTTCACAGAACTCAAATTTATCAAAGCTATCACTATTTTTATAAAGCACTCAAATTTTTCCTTGGCATATTCTACCACATCTGAATGAAGCTGCATCCCATGATTTGTTCCAAAAGACCTGTGGCATGGCTGTCGGTCCAGCCCACAGCAGCAATGTGCAGGGCCAGGCTCCTGAGACCCTGGCAGCTGGCTGCCACTACCACCACAACACCGCTGCCTTTTAAAAATGTATTCTTGGAGTCTCAAGATGGACAACCGGGATGTTGCAGGGAAGGCTAACCGGTGGTTTGGGGTCGCTCCCCCCAAGTCTGCAAAGATGAACATGAACACCCTGCACCAAGAAGAGCTCATCGCGCAGAAGAAGCGGGAAATCGAGGCCAGAATGGAGCAGAAAGCTAAGCAGAGCCAGGCGGCCAGCCCTCAGCCCCCGCATCCCGGAGAAGTCGCGAACGCACACAACTCTTCCTGCGTCTCTAACAAATTCGCCAATGACGGCAGCTTCTTGCAGCAGTTCCTGAAGTTGCAGAAGGCACAGACCACCACAGACGCCACCGCCAGCACAGCCGGCGCCCCGCCCAGCACACCCCCGCCCAGCGCCGGCAAGAGGCCCCTGCTGCTCGGCAAGCGAGCGGGCCTGGGGCTGGGCAGCGCCCCGGGCCAGGTGAGGAACTACTCGCACGCCAAGCAGCTGCCCGTGGCCCAGCGGCCCAGCGTCTTCCAGTCCCCCGATGAGGACGAGGAGGAGGACTAGGAGCAGTGGCTGGAGATCAAAGTTTCACCCCCAGAGGGAGCCGAGACTCGGAAAGTGATAGAGAAATTGGCCCGCTTTGTGGCAGAAGGAGACCCCGAGTTAGAAAAAGTAGCTATGGAGGACTACAAGGATAACCCAGCGTTTGCGTTTTTACACGATAAGAATAGCAGGGAATTCCTCTACTACAGAAAGAAGGTGGCTGAGATGAGGAAGGAGGCGCAGAAGTCCCAGGGAGCCTCTCAGAAAGTTTCACCCCCAGAGGACCAGGAGGCCAAGAGCCTCGCAGAAAAGCTGGCCAGGTTCATAGCGGACGGGGGTCCCGAGGTGGAAACCATCGCCCTCCAGAACAACCGCGAGAACCAGGCATTCAGCTTTCTGTACGAACCCAACAGCCAGGGGTACAAGTACTTCCGGCAGAAGCTAGAGGAGTTCCGGAGCGCCAAGGCCGGCTCCACAGGCACCCCCCCAGCACCTGAGCCCAGCCCGAAGCACACGTCCCCTCCTGACGCCCCGTCGGGGGCCTCGCCCCCTGCCGCCACCTGCCCCACCTCATCGGCCCCCGCGCCGGCCACTGCCCCCGCGCCGGCCGCCCCCGGGAAGCCGGCCTCCGCCATGGCCGCCGTGAAAAGAAAGCGGAAGAGCAGGTGGGGGCCCGAGGAGGACAAGGTGGAGCTCCCCACTGCGGAGCTGGTGCAGGGAGAGGTGGACGCCTCGCCCTCGCCTCTCTCAGTTCAGGACCTCAAGGGGCTCGGCTACGAGAAGGGGAAGCCCGTGGGTCTGGTGGGCGTCACGGAGCTGTCAGACGCCCAGAAGAAGCAGCTGAAGGAGCAGCAGGAGATGCAGCAGATGTACGACATGATCATGCAGCACAAGCGGGCCATGCAGGACATGCAGCTGCTGTGGGAGAAGGCGCTGCAGCAGCACCAGCACGGCTACGACAGCGAGGAGGAGGTGGACAGCGAGCTGGGCACCTGGGAGCACCGGCTGCGCCGCATGGAGATGGACAAGACGCGGGAGTGGGCCGAGCAGTTGACCAAGATGGGCCGGGGCAAGCACTTCATCGGAGACTTCCTGCTACCCGACGAGCTGGACAAGTTCATGGAGACCTTCAAGGCGCTGAAGGAGGGCCGCGAGCCCGACTACTCGGAGTACAAGGAGTTCAAGCTGACCGTGGAGAACATCGGCTACCAGATGCTCATGAAGATGGGCTGGAAGGAGGGCGAGGGGCTGGGCTCCGAGGGCCAGGGCATCAAGAACCCGGTCAGCAAGGGCACCACCACCGTGGACGGCGCCGGCTTCGGCATCGACTGGCCGGCTGAGCTCTCCAAGGAGGACAACGAGTACGAGGCTTTCCGCAAGAGGATGATGCTGGCCTACCGCTTCCGGCCCAACCCCCTGAACAACCCGAGGCGGCCGTACTACTGACAGCTGCGCAGGCAGCTTTCCCAGCACCGGTCCTGGACCGTGGAACGTGGCCGCGCTGCGCCCGCCCCTGCCGTCACCAGTGTCGTGCTGTGTATTAAAGTCTCAGTGCTCAAAAAAAAAAAAAAAAAGTATTCTTTTAAAAATGTATTCATTGGGGCTGGCTCTGTGGCATAGTGGGTAAAGCTGTGGCCTGCAGTGCCCACATTCCATATGGGCACCAGTTTGAGTCCAGGATGCTCCACTTACAGCCCAGCTCTCTGCTCTGGCCTGGGAAAGGAGTGGAAGATGATCCAAGTCCATGGGCCTCTGCAGCCACATAGGGGACCTGGAAGGAGCTCCTTGCTACTGGCTTTAGATCAGCCCAGCTCCAGCCCTTGCAGACATTTGCAGAGTGAACCAGCAGATGGAAGACTTTTCTCTCTCTGCCTCTGCCTCTCTGTAACTCTGCCTTTCAAAGAAAATAAACAAATCTTTAAAAAATGCATTTATTTTTTGGAAGAGCAGAATGGTAGAGATAGGGGGGAGAGAGAAAGAGAGAGAGAGAAATGAATGGGAATGAGAATGAGAATGAGATTGAGAATGAATCTTATTTTCAGTTCTACTCCCCAAATTCCCTCAGTAGCTTCAGCTGGGCTAGGTCAAAGCCAGGAGGCATAAACTCCACCCAGGTTTCCTATATCTGTGACAGGAACCCATCTAGTTGAGCCAATATCTGCTTCCTCACAAATAAATATCAGGACGGTGGATTGACGTGTACATTCTAAGTGTCAGCCTAACCTGATGCGCTACAGCAGTTACCCTAAGATAATTATTTTGTGGGTAAATAAGTGATAAAAATGAGCTAGGCATTACTAGCAGGAATTGAACATGTGTAACTAACAGGCAAGTGTTAGCATGCCCCTTCATAGATACTTATTTAAATTATAATATCTTTTCTTAATTTCTCCTGCTCTCTCACTGCCATCTGTTAATTAATCTAAAGGGAAAATTGTAAGACATGTCTTGAAAATTGCTTTCTCTATACTTGTCTTTATTGTAGAAAAAGAAAAAAAAAGCACATAAGTGAACTGATACTGAAGTAAAAATAATACTGCTGTTTTTGGTTTAGATTAATTATAACCAATAGTGTCTTTTAATAGAACAGATAAGAGGAACAAGTGCCATTTTAGATTTTAAAAGATATTATAGTCTGCAAGATATCTGTATGACTTGGAAGATCTTTCTCAAAGTTTTACTCCTGAAGTAATACTAGGATTATGTTGAAACTGAGAGGAGACAGCTACTGGAAAATCTTTTCCTCATTACCAGAGGGACTTAATGCCTCATTTGTTGGAGACTAAAGTATCATAAGGGACAACCTGGGTAAGAGATAAGGAGGATGATTTATAATAATTATAATTAAATAATAAATAAAATAAAATAATACTGTTTCCATTCAGTTAAGAATAAACTTGGCCGGGGCCACGGCTCACTAGGCTAATCCTCTGCCTTGCGGTGCCGGCACACCGGGTTCTAGTCCTGGTCGGGGTGCTGGATTCTTTCCCGGTTGCCCCTCTTCTAGGCCAGCTCTCTGCTGTGGCCAGGGAGTGCAGTGGAGGATGGCCCAAGTACTTGGGCCCTGCACCCCATGGGAGACCAGGATAAGCACCTGGCTCCTGCCATCGGATCAGCGTGGTGTGCCAGCCGCAGCGTGCCAGCCGCAGTGGCCATTGGAGGGTGAACCAATGGCAAAGGAAGACCTTTCTCTCTGTCTCTCTCTCTCACTGTCCACTCTGCCTGTCAAATAATAATAATAATAATAATAAACTTGATTGAACATAATAGATAATTGAAGTCATAGGCTTATCTAAATCATTTTATTTTTCTGTGTAACAAGCTCCCCAAATTATATGATTTGGGACTAATATAGTAGTCTGAGAATGTAACATTGACATGATCCTGACAATGTGGCTTATAGTCTCCATAATCCTACCTCATGGCTACATAATAGCTGCTGTATGACTAGCATACTGTGTTTCAGGAAGGAATAAGGAAAATGATTTTGCAGCCAAAGGTTTTTCCTTTATAATGAGCATTCCAACAAAATTATCTCAATTATTTCATCTTATTTTTCAAGAGAATACATCACAATAGATATTTTTTCATATGAATTGTAAGTTATTAAGCAAGATATGCTAACAGATTTTACATGTCACGTTGATACACATGAAAAAATATAGCAAAATGTTCAAAGTTCACTCTGTTCTCTATTTAAAAATAAAATTAAAAAGGCAAATATGAATTGAAAATAATAATCAAATATTAATACATTTAAGATATAACATGGAAAATTAACATTAAAGCATAGGGCCAAAAATATGACTCTAAATGAAAAATAAGTGTATTTGAAAACAGACAATATGAAACAAAGCAGAAGATCAAAATAGATGTTAAAAATAAAGAAGATTACCTATAGTGTGCATGATTTTAGGTAAAAATCATTTTCCTATATACAGATGATGAATTTGGGAGATTTATAAGGAGTGTGGTGTGATGGTGTTGATAAGATGCTCTAACTTTAATGATTTAAATATTTTTATTTATTTTGTAAGATATCAACATAATGAAAAACAGTATTCCCGGGGCTGGTGCCGTGGCTCACTTGGTTAATCCTCCACCTGCGGCACAGGCATCCCATATGGGCACCAGCTTCTAGTCCCAGCTGCTCCTTTTCCAGTCCAGTTCTCTGCTGTGGCCTGGGAAGATAGTGGAGGATGGCCCAAGTGCTTGGGCCCCTGCACCCATGAGGGAGACCAGGAGGAAGCACCTGGTTCCTGGCTTCAGATCAGCGCAGTGCCAGCTGTAGCGGTCATTTGGAAGGTGAACCAACAGAAGGAAGACCTTTCTCTCTCTCTCTCTCTCTCTCTCTCTCACTCTCTCAAAAAAAAAAAACAGTATTCCTTGCTGTTCAATTATGTATGTCTTCACCCTTAAAGGCAGTGCATAACACTTCAATCTCCACTCTTTCAGAGATATTCCACACATCAAATAAATGAGTTTATACTTCATTGTTTCAGAACCAACAACAGAATAATAGTTACTTGTCTCCATTTTGTTACTGTATCCAATTGATATATATATATAGAGAGAGAGAGAATTATAATTCTATAAAGTGCTTTTGTACCTGTTTAAATGTCACATGATTTTACATTTTATATACCTTATTTATTGTTTGAAACACAGATTTCCTCTATTCATTTTTTACAGAAACAAAAAATATTTACTTTTAAAGAAGACATGATAATATAGTGCAAACAAGAGTCATGTATCATTGCTTAACAACTGTTTCAAAAACATTTAGAATGAAGTTTCAACAGGATTTTGCTCAAGAGAATTTACAAATTCTTTCTTAACTCTATAATGGTGTTTTCATAGCCTGAAGAATTGCTTTTATGTGGTATCTATAATGCTGTTCTTATTTTCAGTGGAGTAGAAAGTAGCAACAATAATTAGCTGTTCATCAATTTGCATTATAAACTTTATACTTAAAATTTAGTGAAAAATTCTGTGATGAAATTAACCCTGTTAGATAGTAGAAAAGAACCATCAGTGCTTCCATGGACAGTTCCATATGTTACTACTAATTAAAAGGCCACAAAGTAACAAGGCATGCAGAATTCTATAGAAAACATATTTAAATGAATCAGAGTTGCTAACTAAAGAACAAAGATTTGAAAAAATTACCAAATTCCAACATTAGGTGTTAGATTTCTGATTTCAATGTTATTAATATTGACCTAAAGAGACTCCTGATTAAAAAAGTCATTGCTTTTAAAATCCTATAAAAAGTAAAACTTTGTTGGAAGCAACTATGTTCACTTCCTGTTCAAACAATAAAAATAAACAGTAAGAAAACATTTCTCTTTTCAATTCATAGTGCCTGAAGTGTAAGAGGAAAATATATAATATAAATAAAATTCACTGCAATTACTCAAAGCCTGCATGTAGAACTCATATATTTACATTCACAGTGAAGTTTTTTCAGAGTTTTTCTTGGAGTTTCCAACTTGCTCAGCTACACTGAGCTATAAGCAATCACATTTGCAAATGTGCAGAGACCTAAGCCAAAGATGCTGAAAAAGAGAAGTGTGTCTCTCTCTACCTACACACAAATATATAATTAAGCCACTGAACTTTAAAAAGACACCCTTAGAACAGTTTGGAGTACAATTTATGCTTAACTTTATCAATGGCCATGGTATAAAGGTAAACAAAAATAATTGCATTGTTTCTAATGGTCTGCAGCTGTATTTAGTTTTCTGTGTTACATGTAAACATTTTTAATTTAAAAAATTATTAAGTTCCATTTTCACTTTAGAATGATATTGTCAATAAAGGGTAAAACTTTGCCTTGAGACATTTCATCTGATTCTTTTGTCTCCATCAATTTAAAAGAGATCATTGTATGTGAACAAAAAGGCTGCAGTAATGCAGTTGTACTCTATATAATTAACTGTGATCTTTGTGCAGATCTAAAGTCTCTTGAATGCATATGCTTGTAAAAGCATAGTTTTCCTTTGAATGGGGAAATTCTTTGTGTTCTCAGGGCTTCAGGACAACATCTGCCTCTGATGCCAAAAAGGGAGAGGAGGGACACACGAAGTTTATAAGCCTTGTATATCTTCATCCAACTGGACAGTTTGGAGCATAGCAAGCTCTATTTTGTCTGTTTCCAGGTCTTCACACACAGTCTCAATCATGCCATCTAGCACATATTTAGATTTGGTGTCCAGCATAATTAGGCTGCTTGTTGCTTTGTTCTCAGAATCTGATAAGAGGTTCTCTTTTAGGTTAGCTACTGATTGCAGAACCAAATGGTGTTCTCTGACAAAATTCTGGTGCACTGCTATGGAGGCATGGCCCATCTGGTCTTCAGAGGTAGGAACAATTTCCCCCAGGGCATGGACAACAGGTCCTGGCCAGTAATGAGGGAGCAGTTCTGAAGAGTTGCATAGTTAGCATTGCTGACCGCCACCCCTGCGGATTTGCCTGCCACAGGTGCAGGCATTGGCTGGTTATCAGTGATGTCAGGGTTGAGCTCAGTGGAAGTTAGCAGCGCAGGTGGAGTCA